TTCTAATATTTTCGTTTTTGCTTAACTGTCATATTACTATTTATTTTTACCTATAATATTGTGATAAACTCTATTTCATATTTTATTGAAAAAATTGCAAATTGGTGTTAATTCATATAATAAATAAGTAATTAATGAAACTCATAAAACAATATGTATAAATACTGTCAAATTATTAATAATAGCAGTAATAATAATACAAAATTTAACACATTTCTATTTAAAAGTAATTAAAAAATTATAGATCAAAATGAACACGTGCTGTGATATACTAAAGGACTTTGAATCTGGACCACTAGATTTTTATAGAAAAAATGCTACAATCAACTGGAAAAAAATGCGGGTTTTCATTGAATCTGAAGAGGCTTTACGATATAAGGTATTTTATTTAATAAACAAATTTTAATATATTTTATAAATCTGTAATATTATATTCATTTTAGATGAGAGCTTGGAAAACATTTGAATCTGATCCATTATTCCGTCATTCTAATGAAACATTACCATTAGATGAACAGCGAAGATTAGCATTATTGAGAATGTATAAAATTGTAGAATCAAAAGTATTTCCATTTGAAGAAATAATGTCTAGTCCCAGACTGGTGAATATAGCTAAAAATATTATATTTACTTCATATTAAATTTAATTAAATGTTATAGTCATTGGCAAAAGTAGTAGCAATGTTTCAATATTGTCCATCTGTTGCAATAAAAGTCGGATTGACCTTTGATATGTTTTCTAACGTTATATTTAATATGGACAATGGAAGGAATTTTAGTCTATATGAAAAAGCTCAGGAAGGAAAAGTAATTTTTCAATAAACAATTATGTTATTATATATCAATTTTCTAAAGCTATTGACCGGGTATTTCAGATTCCTGGTTGTTTTGCGCTTACAGAAATTTCACATGGTACTAATACTAAAGAAATGCGAACTACAGCTTTTTATGACCACAATTCAAAACAATTTATTTTACATACTCCTGATTTTGAAGCAGCAAAATGTTGGGTTGGTAGTTTAGGTATGTTATGTAAACATGCTTTCAATAAAATTGTACTCATTTTAAAGTATCCATTTAAAATGGTTTTATTTTGACATTTTAATAGGACTTGATGCAACCTATTTTTGTTCACTCTTTTTTAAATATGTATAATATATATTTAAATTTATGTTGAACATAAAAATAATAATTCAGTTGTTATTTTCAATGCAAAAGTTCATTAACAGTTAAAAAACTATAAAACTTGAAAATAGAAACTTTATTTATGTTATCTCATTAATTCTTTTTAGTTTTTTTCTGTTTAATCTATAATTATATAAAATATAAAAATATAAAAACTCTTTTATCTCATGTTTAAAAAAAAAAATCAAAAAACATAAATTAAAGAACATTAAAATTTAATGATAAGAAAATATCTAAGATTGAAAATTAAATTTAGGAAAAACATGTATATACGCAATAATATGGGCCAAATTAACTATGAGTAATGGTGATGATCATGGATTACATGCATTTATAGTTAATATACGAGATCCAAAAACAATGTTACCTTATCCTGGAGTCATAGTTGGTGATCTAGGAGAAAAAGCCAGTTTGAATGGTGTTGATAATGGGTAATTGTTATTTTATATGATCATACATTATTACAGGGATTCCTAATCATAATATTTACTAGAGAATATATTTTTTATTTAGATTTTTGTTGCACACACATAGAATTAAATATATACTTTATTAGAAATGTATTAAAAGGTAACATTTGTATAAACAATTTCAATAAAATAAATAATCAAAATACAAAATAAAATATAATAATACATTTTAATAATTGTAATAACTAAAAATTTAATGAGACTTATTAAAATTACAACTTTTATGTAGATAATTACAATAAACATAAATAAATTAATACCCTAAATGTTCAAGTTATGATTAAATTAAGAATGATACTATTTAAGAAATACATTTGTTAATTAACATATAATAAGATAAAAATTACACCGCAGACTTTTATTGTAAAATTCTTGTGAATTGAGAATCCCTGCATTAACTAGAATATGATAATACAGTTTTTTAAAGTAATTTTTGTAATGATTATTATATTTTTTGTATTAGATTTATAATGTTTAACAAGTTTTGTATACCAAAAGAAAGTTTATTGAGCAAAACTGGAGACATAAATGATAATGGAGAATATATTTCACCGTTTAAAGATAAATCCAAACGATTAGGTAATATATTTATAATATGTTATACATTTCAATAATTATTTATTTATTTAAAAAATAATTTATAGTTTTATTAATTATAATCTATAACTATTAAACATTAAGGCATATATAGCTTTTATACATTAATGTTATCAAATAACTATTACCTATATTAATTAATATATTCAAGTGTTTCACATACAATTTTCAATTTTAAGTTTGTGATGAAAATATTTTAAATGATCGAAATCAAATTTTACTTACAAGTTACAACTCTCATTTTTATCTGATCATTAATTTTTCTTAATTTTTTGGTCAATTTCCCAGTAAATTTTATATAGTATTGTAAAAAAGCTGTATAATCTTGTTTATATATGAAATAGTTTTATTAAAATATCAAAGTTTAAAAAAAATATAAGCTGGGTTATATTTATAATGCTGTTACTGAAGTTATCTAATTATATTTATAGGAGCTTCTTTAGGCAGTTTATCAGTTGGACGATTAAGTATTGTTAATATATGTGTAGCATACATCACAAAAGCTGTTCCAATAGCTATAAGATATACAGGTGTTAGAAAACAGTTTGGACCTCCTAATGGTGATGAGTTGCCAGTCTTGGAGTATCAATTAGTAGTAAGTGAATGTAAAACTTAAATAATTAATTGATTGTTTTCACATTAAAGTGTCTATTTTATTATCTTATGCCTTATGAATACTGATGTAAATTAAAATGTATTGTTTTAAAATATACAAATTAATTAAATCATTTATTTTCAGCAATGTAGATTAATCCCAAATTTGGCTGCTGCGTATGCATTAAAAATCTATGGTGATTATTTGGCTGTTGTATATGAATCATTTTTAATTGAGATGTTTACCAATAGTGGTTCAGAAAGACTCGTAATAAAAAATATTTTTAAATAATTTTAAGTGTAATTTATATGTTGTTTATTTTTAGAGATTGTTTGGCATTGAAATACATGCAATATCTAGTTGTAGCAAACCTATTGCAGCATGGTTATGTCGAGATGCAATACAAGAGTGTAGAGAAGCATGTGGTGGTCATGGTTATTTAAAAGGTTAGTCCTGCACTTTGTCTCTGCACGTGTTGTTACTCTTTTGCCAGTGAATAACTAACAAAATTAATGAGATACAAATTTTGTTAGTTTTAATATTCTGTAAATTAACCTATTATTAAACTAAAAAGCAAAATCATTTTTTTTTTTTATATATATATATTTGAGTTTTATGAGTTATGAGCATTTTTATTTTTATTTATTTTTTAAATAGTAACATTTATAACTGATTTTAAAATTAATATATTAAAAATAAACTCCCACAATAGAAGTTAGTACAGTAGAGTTCTTACCCTTTAATAATAGGTAATAGGTTTAAGGTAGATTAAAACTAACAAAGTTAAATGTGAACTGCTAAACTTAAATTTGGTATTATGTGATATACATTTATAAGATAGAAATAACATGTGTAGGTGATACATGCTCTTTAGGTCTCTTAGGAGGACATCATATCTGCATATTATTATGTTGTCTCTGTCTGACATGCAACACAGAAAATTTTTGTCGAACAGAATCCTTTCATGTTGTAAGCTTAATATTAGAGTAAATCTACCCGTTATTAAACTCAAAAATAAGTATAGAATTTTAGGCATCTTATATAATTTTATTAGTATTAAAATTTTAAATCAAGTTATGATCATTTAAAAGTTGTAATACTTTACATAGGTTTAACTCAATTTAAAATTAAAATATTAATAAAAGTCTATGATAAGCTCTAGATTATATTTTTATATTTATGTTTGATGGTAGGTAAATTAATTCAAACATTAAAGCTAATATCATAAAATGGATTTTTCTGAATGCAAATTTACTGATATACAATAGTAAGACAAAGACACCACACCTGTGTACAACATACTCTTAAACATTAAATTAAATTTTCTTTTTATAACTTTTTTGTAATTTTATTATTAGCTGCTGGTCTTAATGAACTGCGTAATGCAAATGATGCTAATTGCACATATGAAGGCGATAATAATGTATTAATACAACAAACAAGTAATTGGCTGTTAAATATCTGGACAAGTTTGCTAAATGGAAATAAAAGTTGTTGTGATACTCCACTGGGTACTATAGAGTTTCTTAAAGATGCTGAAACAATATTAAATGAAAAGTTTAAATTATCTAGAGCAGATGAAGTATTTACTCATACACGTGAGTTTATTTTTAAAATAATCTATTAATTATTAAAATTATTATTTTGATTCACTTAGATTTACTATCTTGTTTTCAATGGATGATTTGTTATCTTTTACGTCAGACTCATGCACAATTGGAGCTACTAAAAAATCAAAAAAAAGATTTATTTACAGCAAAAAATGATTCCCAGATGTTCTTTGCTAAGGATCTGGCAATTGTATTTGCTGAAGTAAATTTATAATATAAAAATCTTAAGTTATGTATTTAATAAATATTTATTATTTTTTTTACAGTATTTAATTTTGAAAAAGTTTATTGAAACAACATCATCTCCAAATTTAGATGACGCCCATAGACTTGTTTTAAATAAACTTGCTTCACTTTATGGATTTTGGCTAATTGAAAAACATTTATCAATTTTATATGAAGGTATACATGATTGAGAATATTAAATATTTTTAATATTAATAATTATTACATGTTTATATTAATAGGTGGCTATGCTAATGGGCCATTGCCATCTATAATAGTTAAAGGATTCATAATAGATTTATGTTCAAGTCTTAAAAATGAAGCAGTAACACTTGCTGATGCTATAGTGCCTCCAGATTTTATACTTAATTCAGTGCTGGCTGCTTCAAATGGACGGGTAAACTAAAAATTACAAAATTAATATGAATATTGAAATTTGTACAATATTAAGATTTTAATACTTTTATATAATTTTTCTGAACTCTATCCTATTAAGTTTAGTCTTATGCTTTTTATGTATCCTATAATAGTTCTTGTATTTATATGTATATATATATTAATGATAATCAGAGGAATAGAAATTGTGATAGGAGTTGCATAATGTGTTATAAGCTAAAAACAGCTGTATAATATAATGTATAACTTCTATTGTTATTTAACTATTCTTTTCATTGCTTTTGATGTGGAAAAGTGTTAGATATTTAAAACAGAATTTGTAATCACAACTCTTGAGGTAGTTATTTTCTTTGATCTCTTTGGTTAGATATCAGTATAGAATTTTTCTTTGTATTTTTTTTTTTTTGTTAATTTAGTTTCAGGTTCTCTAAAATCATATTAATTAATTACTGTATTATTTAGGTGTATGAAAATTTGAAGAATTTATTATTTGAAGATAAATCGACATTTGAAAGACCTACTTGGTGGACAGAAATAGCAGTACGATCAAAATTATAAACTAAACAATATTTTGATACGTTTATTTTTACTGCTGGATTTGTGAAACTGATTTTAGTTTTATTCAAAGGAATGTTTGTCAAATGTTTTTTTTGTTATAAATTATTATTATTGTTTTTATTTAAAAAAAATAAAATTAAAAAAGATTTTATAATTTTATATTAATTTGTATATAATATAAATACATTACCTTAAAGCTCATCATGTCCAAAAGAAGAGTCTTGATAAAGCCAATGACGATACACTTCAATAGGATCAATCATCCAATGTTTATGAAAAGACACCATTGGATAAGATTCTAAATATTCATCAGCATAATCTTGTGGTCTAGCCTATAAATAAGTTAATGGTATTAGAACAAGCATTGTTCATATAGTTGATTATAACTGAACTTGATGGAAAACTGGAGAATGGACCACTGTGGCATTCAAAGCTTTCAAACACATGCCTAATACCATATCATCAGGTGCATCAAGTGCATAACATTTGCAAGTGGTCAATTTATGGACCAATCCCACATTAAATATAATACCTCCACCACCCGTTAGATAATTGTATCCTAAAGACTGATCTCCTCGAATATTGTAACCATATCTTTGACCAAGTGCAATTTGCTGACCATTCCAACAGCTCAATATCGATGCTAACCGAGGAACGCTAAATATTTGAATAGAAATGTAGGGTAAATGTTAAGTACATAATCTATTGTGCATTTGTATCACCTCAAAAGAGTATCATCGTCTGTCAATGCAATCCATTTCACAGCTTTATTTGACAAAAGTTTTTTGGATAAGTATTTGAAAATTGTAATAGTCTTTTGACAGTGTCCTCTTTCAGTATTAGGTACATCTAATACAGTTGTTGGTATTGCATTGTCTAAAAAAAAAAAATATTAAAACAAATGTATAACTAACGAAAAAGAAGCTTATTAATTACCAAATTTATCGCTAAAATATTCAATATATACAGCATCTCGACCCCAAGTAGATTGTAATACTGGTATTCTATCTGAATGGAATTTACTGCAAGTTTTCACAGCAAAATATATTGAATCTTTTGTCACCTTTCCATATTGTGTCTTAAAACAAAAATAAATACATTTTTAATGAAATTCTAATACATACACATTTCACACGCAGACTTACACAGTCACTTCTTTCAGACAAAGGATGAACAATACAGTCTGGTGAAAGTTTCAAACAAAATTTTAAAGGAAGATGTTTGATTTTTTTATTGATTACTAATGCTAATTCATAAGATGCATCAATTGAAAAATCTGAATCCAACTGATTTTCAACTTTTAGATTGGCAATACTATAAAAATGTCATGAAAAGTAAATTTTACATTAAAAAGTTGTATAAAGTAAATATAAACTAACTTTTTTAAAAGCTCAGCAGATATAACAAATCCTGCAGCAAACAAAGGGTAAGTAACTCTTTCATTTTCATTTTCTTCAAATGCATAATGATGAATTATTGTAGGGTGTTTATCTTTTACACCATATCCCATCCATAAAGACTATTACATGTCATATAAACAAATAATTAACAGTTAAAAAACTAAAAACTTTGTAGGCACCTAAAATTTAACAATGATTATGTTTACCCAAAAGCAATTTTCTGGATTAGAAGTCAAAAAATACATTTAAAAATGTTTATAAACATAAAACAACTGTCAAAAATAAGTATTTTATTGTTTTTAAGTCAATAAGTTATTCATACTTACTTCACTGGAGTTCTTTTCTTTCAAAAATAATTGTAAATTGTCATAATTCACATAAGCGTTTTCTTCACAAAACAGAAACCACTTTGCATTTTTATTATTTTTATACAATCTAAAAATTAAAACAACAGATAAAAATAAATTAATGGAGATAATTTGGTACAAACATGCTTCTTACAGTTTTATAATTGGAATAATAGTCCAACTTCCAGGTTCTGGAAATTGTTCATGAAGCATATATACTCCACTTAGCCGTGGCTCCTAAATGATTAAAATGTCACACAATTTCATAAAAATTTGAGTACAAAGATTTAATTATACAGATATTTCATTAAGTAGTTTAAATAATTTATTAGGTATATAATTAATACTAGTCTCTCAATAAGTTATGCATATTATACTGACTTTAATTGATTTTGTTTGTTTCAATATATTATTTTTTAATCTGAGTGCTTGTTCTACATTATAGTCATTTAGTTGACTCAAAATTGTTATGACTATCTCCGAGCTTTCTGTAAAAAAATGTTGTAGCTGAATAAAAGATATCTTTTAAAGTAATTATGAATTTTTTCCTAAGAAAAATAAACCAACCCAGCTTATGCGAGATCGACAATAGGTATAGACAAATAAAATAAATGCCATTAATAAACATAATGTTTGTGTATATTATAAATTAAAGTAACACAAAAGTTACCGACTTAACAAAAAGGAACATATTTAAATTTTAAAGTTTAAGCTATGATAACTGTTAAGTGAATTTTAAGATATGAAGTAGTAGATAACCAGAAAGTATTAAATTTAAATATACACATTATACATATTAAATCAAAAATTACATTAAATTAATTTGAATTCATTTTCGAATTTATTAAGAAATTCTGGTTCAACAGAGTACCGAATACATAATTATAATTAATTATAAAACATAATCTGACAGTGTATAATGTAAAATAATATGCTATTCATAATTGGTCATGCTACTCAACTATAGACTACCTACTATCACAATATTATTGATAAGAATTTAAATGAAAATATAATTTTTTAACTGTAAATAATATTTAACGACATGTTTACACCTACCTACACTTAGACATAAAATACATAACTTATATTGTTATACATTTTAAATACAACGTTATAAACTTATAAAGCAGTCCAGCTCACAATAGAATGAATGCAGTAGATAATCAATTAAATTAACTATAATAGATCTAATAGGTACGTATTAAAGTGGTGCCCATGTAACTATAATATAAAAATTGTACTTATTGAAATAAAATTTTAAAAATTTAACCGATTACATACATAACATAGTAATTTGATATTTTGTTTACTTCACGCTTTTATGGCAATAGTCACCCCTTAGTACAAACATTAGGTAAGTTAGAAGACAAAATTAAATCACTGTCGTTACTACAGGTCTTATCCAAATACATGGATTTCCTCAGTAAAAAACCATTAGGTAAAAACAAGATCCAAGATTGATACGCAAAAAACTAAGTTTTTTTTATCTCGTCGAACAGACCCTGTTTATTGTAAAATATTTGTCAATAGGTACATCGAAAATGATCATTAGGTATGCGTTGATCAGTAACTTTAAATCTAACAATTTGGTAAATAGGTATTACCTATGAATCATTAATTATCAAACTATTCTGTATTCATTTTTTTTGGTAGCAAATTTTACAAAACTGGATTTTTACTCATTTTGTTGCAAATGATTTGCAGTAGATATCTACAAAACTGTCTGCGATAATCTTTCGCATTTCTAGGATGTGTCAAACACTGTTAATGCTCAATTCTTTATCTCGCTAAATTTAAATTTAAAATCTATCGATAATAATAAACATAATAATTCGTATTGAAACTTGACGGATTGTAAAATATATTGGCTTATTTATTGGATAGTATTGCTATACTTAGTGCATAACCTACTAATGTATGGAGATTGGTATTTTTCAAGTTTATCGAGTCCAATTTTGGTTTTTTTCAGTTTACGTTTCTTATGTATTTTTCCTGTTGTTTTTATTCCCAAGTCCTAACTAGTTGATAGTTACTACGACATTCACACATTCACTTTCTATTGGCTATTGGTTGTTGTCAGTTACGAGTTGTTGATCTATGCGTGACGGAGTGATGGCTTGTTTATTCTTTTATCACGAGATACAAACGTTGATCACTGTTATCATCAAAAAATTAGAAAAACACTAAACAGCTGGATTCTTGTACAGAAGTGCGAACGTATTTTAAACCTCTAAGTTTCATTTTACTTTATTTTTTTGAGTGTTCAAAGACGAATTATTGTAGCTGTATATTATCACATTTTTTTTTTTTTAAGTCGAGCATCTACGGTTATACCCAATATGTTGACAATTTTTTCGAAGTGTAGCTTGCCTAAAAAAGCAAGTTCACATACTATTCGTCAGCTATCGTCGGTCAATTTTGATATTCAACATAAGCATCCCCAGGCCCGAAAACAAGTCGGATTGCCCAGAGCCAGGTAATTTCCTAGCCAAGTCATGTATTACTTAATGTTTATGATTGTAGTATGAACACTTCTGTTTAAAAGTCATTATTTTTGAACGACATTGTGGAATGGGGCCACAGGGGGTACATCTAAAACTGTTGAATTAAAATTCAACTCTTAGGGTTGTTGCTTTTGGTAATATATTTATTTTTAATTATAGATATGGAGGAAGAAATGCAGTCACTATGTTGCCAGGTGGAGGTATTGGACCAGAGTTGATGAGTTATGTAAAAGAAGTCTTTTTACATGGTGGTGTACCAGTCGATTTCGAGACAATTCAGATCGATCCGCAAAGTGATAATAATGATGATTTGCAATACGCCATTATGTCCATTCGTAGAAATGGTGTGTGCATTAAAGGTAACATTGAAACACGCAGTCTCGATACTGCTATCATTTCACGTAATGTTGCCATTCGTAACGAACTCGATTTATTTGTGAATGTTATAAATGTACAATCATACAATAACGTACCAAGTCGTCACAAGAATGTTAATGTAATTGTTATACGGCAGAATACTGAAGGTGAATATGCAATGTTAGAACATGAAAGTGTCGAAGGTGTAGTTGAATCCATGAAAGTCATTACTGAAGAAAATTCTACAAGGTTAGCTCGTTACGCATTCGAGTTAGCCAAAAACAATGGTCGCTCTAAAGTCACAGCAATCCACAAAGCTAACATTATGAAATTATCAGATGGATTATTTTTGGAAACTTGCAAAAATATGTCCTTAAATTACCCAGATATTAAATTTGAACACATGATTATTGACAACTGTTGCATGCAGCTGGTATCTAATCCACATCAGTTTGACGTGATGGTTATGCCTAACTTGTATGGTTCGATTGTGTCAAATGTAATTTGTGGTCTTGTTGGTGGTGCTGGCCTAATATCCGGAAGAAACTATGGTGATCATTATGCAGTTTTTGAGCCAGGCACCAGAAACACTGGTTCATCTATTGCAGGTACCAATACTGCGAATCCAGTTGCAATGTTAAGTGCGTCTGCTGATATGTTAGAACACTTAGGTCACAAAGTGCATTGTGATATTATCAGAACAGCTATATCTAAGACTCTCAATGAAGACATGGTACATACAGCTGATTTAAATGGCACTGCTAAAAGTACTGATGTTGTACATAATGTTATTAAACATGTAAAAAGTCTTGCGGGTAGAATTTAATAATTATTTTTATTATACTATTATGCAAGAAATTTAAAATTATTATTGTTTTTGAAGATAAATACTGAGAAAATACTTTTTTTATCCAACATCCTATGCACAAATTTTCTCTAACCTAACCCATGAGTCATTAAATAATATGTTATTCATAATTCATTGATGTGTTTTTATTATTTAATTTAACTAAATCTATCAAACAATAGATTTATATTAGTGTAGATGCATACATGAGTGTTATGAGCATTTTATTATGTATATTGTATATTATATTGTCTATGATGTTATAGTACAATATTTATTTTTGATTTTAATAAATCAATGATGATATACTTGTAAATGTAATGATTTTTTTTGTTTTTAATATTATTAATAATTAATTAGTACACAAAAACTGTAGTTTATTAATTACAGTATCATTATTATTTAATTAAATGTGATATGTTTATTAAAATTATAATCAAATAACATTGAAATGTTATAAAAAGCTGAAGGTGTTTTAAAAATGTAAATAATAAAAAATATAACTAGTAAAAGCTGAACGTCGATGTGATATTGTATAAGCCACAATAATTGTATACCTTACTTATAAGCTATAAAGTGTAAAAATAATCATTTTTCATAATGTTGTAATTATTTAAATCTTATTGTATTGTTTTTATGTTTAAATTTTGAATATTTTTCTAGTCACTGACCATATGCAAAACTAGAATATATTTGTAGGAAACATATTTTTTCATAATCAGTAATTTAGTTAGAGGTCAAAAACAAATGCATCCTAGATCTGGATTTATTCAAGTCTTAATAATATTGATTACTATCCTGGAATTAAAGTTCTTTAGATTTTGCATATTTTATACATGTTTCCAGCGATTGCTAAATAAGTGACATCTGTATAATCTCAATAATTAATTAATTGAATAGTTATAAATTTTTTTTAAAAATCAGAATTGACTGCAGTTTCCGGCTATCACCACCTACAACAGTATAACCTATGATTGTTTATAAAACGTATAATTATTTCTGGTTAAATATATTGTAAATATTTTTCAAAAATAACGAAGGTAATAATTATGAATATTTTCTATTATACCTATAACCATATTGCCTCTTGGTATCAATATAATCCACAGGTTAAGCCGGTTGAAGAAGTAACTGATGCGAGCAGAGCACTACACCTTGTGTCTTTTTGAAATTTTTTAGAAATGGAATTCGTCTATTAATGCCACACACTTCTTTTAGTTATACAGTGTTAGCCACAGTGCCGGATCTTGAACTCCGGGGGCCACAGTTCAAAAGAAAATAAGAGATCCCCTTGAAAATTGGGAAATTTCAACTTATCTATTTTTGTTTGGGTCTCGCTAGTCGCTAAGCCGAATGCATCACGACGTAGACGTTATCGTATTTCGATCAATTAGTAAATTGTATGAAAAAATAATCGATTAAAATATATTCACAAATCACAATAGTTTACCACCGATAGGAATAAATTAGTTTCAAATCAATAACCAAAATTCAATAGAACATTAAATTTAAAGAAAACAAAACATAAATTTCACCAAGTATCTATTTTAGTTTTATAGATTAATTATAACTTTAGTCCGAATTTGTATGCATTTTTTATATTTATACGAAGAGTATATTATGTAGTTTAACAGGAGTTCAAATATCAACGATTTTTTTTTTTAGCAGAGAATGCAAATGTATAGTGCATGTAAATTTATATTATGAGGACACGAATTTACAAAGACAAGAAGTCATATTTAAAGAAATTTGATATTAGCATTTTTTGTAGAAAATATCTGATAGGTACCTATTACTTTACTGTAATATTGTGGTCTATTAGACCACATTAATTCTCGTTCATCACTTGCGCCGCCAATATCAATTTCAACCGGTTTTTCTGATACGATAATAAATAATTCTTCTATTATTTGTAATTAGTAAATTACATTTTTATTTTCATAAATTTTGTATGTAAATAAATCTGTCGTGACTTGTTAACAGCAGCAGCGTAATGACTTACAACAATCTCTTGAAAACGTTGTTTCGTGATTGTGATCCGAAATAAATACCTAAATGTCGTATAACATTGTTTCTACTTTTTTTAAGAAATTCGATCGCATTAAATAATAAACAAACCACCCCATTTCTCACCAAGTTTCATTGATTTTTAAAAATGAAATAATTTCATCATGGTAATTATTATAAACAAAAAAAAATAAAATAAAAAAAATACCTAATATAAATATACGAATATTAAATATAAGCATATTGTTACGTATTTCTTAAAGTATTTAGAGCATATTCGAAACATAAATGCATATTATATACAAATTCGGAATTGACTTATAAGTATTGCATAGATAACCTAATCAACGTACATTGAGCTGAGCAGTGTATATTACATATTATATTATGTGGCAATAATAAAATGTAAAAAAATATGAGCTATAAACTGTGGTTTTCTACGTACATTATTATCCGCCTCATAACGGTTTTAATTTTATTGTACATATATATATATATATAAACAAAACAAATAGCTAACAAAAATAATATATATAATTAAATAGTTCCTTTGGTGATCGATCGCAGCATCTTTCCGCATGCTTTGGGTGGGGGATTAAACCCACGCTTGGCTTTCCGATTCGATAACCAGCTATTATATTATCCTTCCGAGGATGATATATATTATTAAAATAATAGTACACTTATACAAAGCAGTGGCATATTTATGGTTTTCATAGGAGGGGGGGGGGGGTGATATTTTATCCAACATCAACTATAGAAATAAACGTTTTGAAACTCATTACGATTGTGTAATTTATTATACATTGAGATGCGTATGAAATATTCAAGAGATACACGTGAAAACATTGTTCAAGTGGATTATCGATTCTCACGATCCCTTATATCGCAGACACTGTATACATACCACATACGGTACGTATCACTGAAGCTGCAGGCGATATTGAGATATTATTATTGTTTAATTGCGGTTCGTATAAAATAGTCGAAATATTTTGATAGGATATCTAGCTATTGATATAGCTAGATCATAATTGATATACGCATCATATTTTATACGGATGGTCTTAATACTCTTAATCGTATAAATCCTGTCTTCGCAGTTCGCGGCACGTAGACCATAATAGCTGTATTCAGGGCTGGATTAAGATATTTTGAACTTATTGCCCTCCACCCTTTAAAACCAGTCGTGCAGACTACATTGCCTGCTGTTGATCTGTATTTAATACATCATATATTTATTATCTGTTTTACGTATATAAGATTGATTTTTATTTCTAAATAAAATTTATTATATTAATATGTCTTAGAATATTCATCCTTATCATTTGACAGAAACAATGAAAACCTTATCGTACCATTAGATTTTGGTGCGGTTAAAATACAGGTGACATGAAAGGATGGCATACGAGGCAACAATAATAATAATAAAAAAAAAAAAAAATTATAATATTTACAAATATAATATATTTAACAACTCCGTCAATTTTGCTATTCTTTTAAATAGGTAGGTACATCAAATCTACACAGTCTTAATCCGATGACTTACACAGTATAACTTCTTAAAGATTAGAAAAAAAAAAATACTACAAAATAATTTTAAAAACAAATTTACAACTGACGCATAGTTCTATAAAGATCTTCACAAAAATAACGCGGTATCAGGTTTATTAGGTAAATAAAAGTAATAATAATATTAATATTAAAAAAAATACAATTTAATATAAATTGATCATTGTTAAAAATTATTAATAAATTAGACAGGCTCACAGGAACTTAATATAAAAATATGTTAACCACAAGGAAAACAAATCTATAATAATAATAATAATAATAATAATAATAATAATAATAATAATGATGATGATGATGATGATAATAATACAAACATAAATAAAATACAATTTTTCACTATCAACACTCGTATTTTTATGCCAATATTAACGTGTTATCAAGAACAAAAAGCATACTGAATTATTGTGTGTATATGGTTTATTTTTATACGAAAAAATCTAAATTAATTGTTTTCGATGGGAAAATGTCAATAAAAAAAAAAAAAAAAATGTAGCCGATTCACAATTAATCGTTACAAATCACTAAAACATAAAAATAAACATACGCATGGGATATTATCAGAAATTTCTTAACAATATGAAATTGAAAAATGTATTATTACAGCTGAGATAAAAAATATAATTTACGCGTAGAAGACATAGGTTTATCAACACGGGCAATTAGCGTACAATTTAAAATAATAATGCTAACGATTCGATTAGGTAGGTACTCTCGAGAGTATTCGAGTGTAGATGCTTACGCAGTTATTAATAGTATTGTATGAATTAAACATTTAAGCATATCATTTGTGATCGAAATTTTACATAATTCTACATCGTCGGCACTGAGTACGTTATAACAAAAATATAATAATATATGTATGTACAAATATTGGCTATAAATAATTTAATGGTCCAAACGAAAACGATAATATTATATCATACACCACGATTCGTCGACGCAGACATCTTCGTCAATAAATGTAGGTAATACATAATAACTATTTTACGACTTACAATGTTACGGGCATTTGAATAATTGTCCACAGTCGGTATAGGCGTATTGCGCAATATTTCAATAAAACAATATTGCCGATAAGAAAATTAGGCCGAAAGAGGGTGTGCTGAGAAGCGATCATTGTGTCGTACGCGGTATAATATATTTTCGGTCTTTTGCAAGCGGCGTTCGTCGACGAGAAAAATGCACACACGTCGCGAACAGACAATAACGAGAAAACAATAAAAATCAATATATTATTATAATCGTTTATTGAAAAATGTGCGCGTAAAATTCCTCTTAGTTCCATAATATATCGTTACATACATCAATATTATATGGTAGACAATAAATACCGTATCGAATTATTATTTATTAATACTGGTCGGGGAGGAGTGAGATATATATATAGAGAGAGAGAGAATGAAATAATAATAGTAATAATAATAATAATAATAATAATAATTTATAATTATAAAAACAAAGATTTGTCAGTCTAAACATTGCGTTTGCGGGCAAGATTTTAAGATAATCGTACTACGACAAAACACGTCGTCTCGTAACGATTGTCGCGGCGCGTCGTACGCCGACACGCGGTCGGCGGGTTATACGTCCGTCGATGGCACAGACTTCGCAACCGCTCGTTACACCGTAACAACGTACGGGGAAGTCTGCAGCTGCTGGCAGCAGTGGGTCAGTGGCGCGGTCGCCGCGTCACGATAATTATTGTATTGTCGCCTGTGCTTGTTGTTGTTGTTGTTGTTGTTGTTGTTGTCGTCGTCGTTGTCGTCTTGGTCGCCGACGTTGTGCTTGCTCGCGCGCGCGTGCTTGCGGTGCGTGCGTGTGTGCTTTGCGTGCGTGTGCGGTGAGGGATGCGTGCAGCGGATGCGGCGGTCGACGCGTCGTGATCAACACAGCGTCTCCACCGGTTTGGACAGCGTCGACTCGTTGACGGTGGACGGCATCGCGTTGGACGTGGACGACCGGACGTTGCCGCCGTCCGACGGGTTGTCGGTGCGCAGGCACCACATGCGCTTGACGGCCATCCACACCTGCGGCTGGCAGCCGACCACTATGAATATGAGCACCCCTTGCAGCGCGTTCATCAGGTCCGTCAGGTACCACACGTAATCCGGTCCGCCGATCACCCACGACAGCACGTCCACCACCCACGTGATGCCCATGACGATCACGAGTTTCAGGCACACGCGGCCCAGTGTGGCTCTGTAACACGAAAATAAACAAACGTTTAATATCAGTGTGTAAAACAAACGAATAAACTGCGACACATATTTAAAAAAAAAAAAAAATTGGCCGGAGGGAGGGGGTGAGACGAGATAATTTATTCCCCAAAATGGAGACCACGATAAAATGGTCATTTGATTGTTTTTACACTAAAGTCTTGGAACTCGTTTCATGCGGCTTGAAAACAAATTCTAATACCCATGAATAATATATTAAATAAATAAGAGTTAATTAAATAAAAATGTCGACGAATTACTAGAGATATACGAACGATTTATATATATATAATTGTATGATATTATCATAAAAACAATGGTGTGAAGGCGAAATATACATACATAATTTTTTCTGCTCACACTAGAATCGAGTTTTTCAGATGGAATGTTTGTAAATGTCTGCAGTAGACGCAATTATTTAATTTTAATAATTTAATGCGTGGACTGCAGTCGAATATATATTATAATATCATACACTTCTAATGTATAGCGTTGACCGTATACAAATAAGCTGCTATACATGTGTGCGTCGACGATTACATCATTTTCTCGCATAAACTACCCATATTAATAAACATTCACACATTATGCGTTAAAAAAGTATCTAATATATTATAATCGACACCAGAAATACGTCTGATGAGCGTACACAATATACGTTTAGAAAAAAAAAAACGTAAAAATATTATTAAAAATAGTAAATCCGGATTTAAGTGCACATAACAACATAATAATATTATAAGTACGTTATAAATAATGTTATTGGAAAATTGTATGCGTGGATGTTAGAAAAAAAACAGTTTATTATACACTAACACACCGCCGCACTAGTGTTTTTCAGATAGGTACATTTTTTTGCTATACGAACGGTTTTTAATTATTGTATATTTATATTTTATTATTGACTTAACACAAAGAAATCGCGAGTATAATATGTAGCATATAAATTGTGTTCACCGGGGTTCATCGGACTTCCCATGGAAGGAAGTTCACAGTCCGAATAATGATTGGATGTATATTAAAAAATACGCGAATGAATATTCCTTATGGTTTGTTTTATACTATTGACTTATATTAAGTCATGTAGTGTACAAAATATAAAATTGAGCTCTTCTAGACGAAAGAACGTAAAGCGTAGTTAAATATGTTTACACAAAAGTGTAAATCGTATTTGTTTATATATTATAGATTATAAATATATATATATAGATAGATAGATAAATATATAGATTGATTGTATTTCAATAGAAATTAAAAATTTTCAGTTAACTCGTTAGTCGTTAATTTAACTGATTAATCGGCGAACAAATTAGGTTTAATAGGTACAGAAAAAACGATCTAATCTAAATATTTATTTTCATTTTAGTAAATATCCAACGGTCACAATTATTATCACTTCAATCGTTTTCTGTGTTGTACGCGTAAAGATTGCGAATATGGTACATTTTGTACGTAAGTATACAATTTAACTTCAAGATAGGCTAACCTGAATGTTTTTAACGACTTTCAGTATCTCTATAACAATGACGCCTAGTCTCCAACTCACGAGTAATTTCGAAAGTTTGATTTTATATCGTTGTAGCGGTACCTATATAGCTGTCCTTTAACGCTGAACTGTAACACTTGGCTGATCTTGAAGTAACATTTTAAGATCTCTCTTCGTGACGCTTTTACTATAGCTAATAATATAATACAAGCGTATACATTCTACACAGCCACTCTTTATTTAATTAATTATAAACATTTTAATCGTCTGCAATCGAATCATCATTGTTCGTTTCAACAGCGTTGATAAATGTTGTATTAAAATACATTATTTTTTATTCTTCTTGAAAAGTATATTAAAAAAACGTCAAATAAATATATCAGATTAAATTATTATCCGTTCATAATGTTCATATTATATACGTTGCTGTGTGATTTTTCCTCGTGTTTCAAAAAAATTTCTTAATCGATTTTTATTCTCATTTTCCCTGCACTATTATAATATAGTTACAGTCACCGACATCCGTGACGTCGCTTAATCATTTCAAACCAATCTCGTTATCCGATATCTTTTCATCTTGGGCAAACTTTAGTCGATTTCTCTACATTATTTTACCCAACAGAACCTAATAAAATTTAACAATTGTGATGCCGCCATACAAAATGTTTATTTTTTCCCTTTTACAGTGATCGAATTCCAAAGTAAATAATTTATGTAATAAAGGTATATATATAAATATACACATATGTATAAATAGATATATATTGATATAGGATATTTCCATCAATCAAAGTGAGTATAAACATAAACGTCATCATCGGTGAACATCAATAATACATCTGCACTCTGCAGACACCACGGGGGTCTTTTAATGAATTTTCACATTAACTCCATACAAATAATAGGTATATAGTAATAACAAAAATGGAATAATCGCAAACATGTACAGAACATAATATAGTATCGATCACTGTATGCATCATTCTACGGATTTCTCGACATACATTAGTACTAAACACACCCACTTCTGTAGAAAGATTTTAAATTAAAATTTTAATTTGTGAAAATATGCTGTCAATAAATTTAATAAATTATATCAAATCAAATTCTATTTTATATATTATGTATCAAACCTACAATATATATCTATCTGTATATAGTTTAAGTGCTGTAATCAAAAGTTCACTATATTACGACACTGACCTTGTAAAAAACATTAGTAATTTCATGACTTCTCATTTATTTGAACTCTCCTGTTTTGCAGATCGGATACAAACAAATATGTTTTGAATTGAAGTTTACGGTCCATAAGAATTACGGTTTATTCTTTGCGATTCCGTTAGACAAAAATAAATACCTTTAATGTTAGTGTACGAAAATGATAATTGTTATACAGCTCGTGGTTCTAAAATACTATATAGATCCGTTTTAACGAGTTAATTTTCACAAAATGTCTTTACATTTAAGTTTCAATAATTATATATTAGCACTATAACTCATTTTTTAACCGTCATAATAATATCAACAAGGATAATTATTTATATGCGAGATTGAAAATGTAGGGCAATCCAGCAAAATTAATGTCTTAACTTGTACGATATTACATGTATATTTTATTCATTCGTACCTTTCGCTAGTAGATTTCACTACTTCGGTTCTCCATAAACCACACGTCAGCTCCCTAGCAGTAGCCGCGAACAATGTTAGATTCATCATCAACAAAATACCAATTGGTCCATAGAAATATGACAGGACTTCTGCGTCACCTAAAATTACATAAGTATGAAATTAACAACATTTCATACATTTGCTTTGCCCGAAAATGGACAGAAGGTTATATTTTAACCAAATAAATATCATGTAAATAAATTATTACAAGGTACTTCTTATATATATATACCTTGAGATTAAATCATCTCAAATAATATTAATGATGATGAATATCGTTATTATTAATGAGACCAAATTTAAATAATGGAATTTCACAGATGCCTTATTTTTATTTAAAAACAATTGATTGTTTTAAATTTAAATATATTGCTTTATTTTAAAATGTATACACGATAAGGCTTCAATAATATTTTAAGTCGTTAACTTTGTTAATTTACCTACGTCCATAGTGTATACATTATACACACTACACAGAAAATATCCATTAACACTATACCTAACGCATAATATTTAATATTCTAAAAAATGTTCTTCTTGAATATTTTTATTAGGTTATTGGATTGTTTTTAAAATATTTTAATATAAATTTAAAAATACAATTATAATATAAGTAAAAGTTTTTTTTTTCATAATATATATTTATTAGTATCTTAATGTTAATTTTAACATTATTGACAGATTTAAAATTATCTACTATTGAATAAGTGCAATAAAACAAGTTTTGGAATTATTTGATTCAGGTATTGGTATAATCTTAATAATGGTATAATAAAGGTGACAAAATATGGTAATATTTAACTTAATAAAGAATGTCTCTAGAAATTTTAGGGTAACTACTTAGTACTTACCATAGAACCAACAACGATGTTCACCAAATTTAGGTCTGATCAATGACGTGTATTGATCTGGTGGAATACGGTCCAATACAGCGGCTAGCGTAGCGATCACTAGAGGTACACCCCACGCGTACAACTGGTACAGTCTAAGCCTACACGCTTCTTGGCCTTTATCCAAATTGGCGGGCCTCAAGTCCCTGGAAAACGTCATGAACACATTATATTACACATCAAGGAAAATGATAGACACTTATAATAGTTTGTCTTACGCTCATTTCATAAAAAACGACTTTCTTGACGTATTGCATAGTACGAGTACTAACATTTATACGCTTGAAACGTATTTCCGTCAAAATAATACACCGTATTTATGTATATGTATGTGTTTTATAATAACAATATAGGTATATAAAAAAATACGGACATCTAACTTAAATGTATATGATAAAAAAACTTGTAGAATCATATTATATGCCTTAAACTAAATTTAATTTAATTTAAAAACGTTTATATTTTTCTGCAGAAAAATTAAACATGTATTAAAGATATTGAAAGACTACGGGTATATGAAACCACATCATTATTTAGTATTTTTATGAAAATTCATACAAATATCTAAATCAATATTGATATAAGAATCTAGAATAGAACATTTCAATATATAAAGAATAAAAAATTACCTGTATAACTAATTATCAAGTATAAAAAAGACACTCGCAAAAAATTATAATATGTTCGTATAGTATAGGTACAACGATTTCTTAATTGATTGTATGTTATGCAGACATAATACTTTCAAAATTGATTGACTGAAATATTTAAGTTTTTTATTCTAGTAATTATAGTATACTCGTAGATCTATGTATTATATGTATATTTAAAGAATAAATTAAAATTCGTGTGAATACTCATACTAGTTAAAAAAAAAAAAAATTGTTTGTGTAATTAATTTCATTGCGTAAGGATTTAAATTTGTTAATACTCATAAAAAAGCGCGAAAAACATAAAATTTAATTAAATACAATATTTTCAACCTTCTAATAATAAAACTAGTTTAATAATTTAACGTTTAAACGGGTTTTAAATTTATCAATAAGAAATCCATTTAAAATGTAATTCGTTCGCTTAGATGTTGCATAAGGCAAAAGATAATTGAAAATATATTATAATTATAATAATTATTTAATAATTATCTGATCAAAATAAAGTAGGTAATCGGACTAGTTTCGAAATGACAACGATCAGGAATTGTATAATATTATTAGTTTCACTAATCGGTGTTAATATTGTATAGGTGTTCATAAAATATACATTGATTACAAGTATTCAATTAAATTACCAAATTATTCAAATATCCAACTATAAAACGTGTGCAATTTTAATGTTAAAAACATCAATAATATTTTTGTTATTAAGTTAGATCGTCGTGATTTATGTAACGCAAGCGGTTTTGATAGTATTGACACAAAGTGGTATTCATTAATAAATAGTAAGTTAGTGTAAATTATTTTTCAATGAACCACCATTTACTCAACACTGGTTAGGCCTTACTATTTTTATTTTTAAATGATGAATTTTATAAATGTGGGGTGTTAAGTCTCCGGTGAATGTTAAAATGAGCACCGCAATTACTACATATCAATAATTTCTATACCATGTCATTTCACATTACATTTATATTCCTGTGTTGGGTAATTTATCTTCAATTGTAACAATTATCACCAAGGTAAATGATAATAATTAATAGAGGTGAAGGACGCATAATCATATAAAATCGATGAGTTTAGGGTACAACTCGAAACGCTACAAGAGGAAATTGAATAGTGGAAGGTATATAAAACTAAACACGCATAATATGTATACGAGTGGATCGTGGGAATAACATATACAGTGGAAATACACTTTCGTAATTCGATATTACTGTTTATTGTCTCGGGATATGTAAGCCTATTCAATTATAATATATATATATATATATATACCGAGGTGCGTTTTATTTATCCTTTTTATTCTACAACGATACAGGTAGACAACGGGTAATGTAAAATCGAGGTCCGCACATATATCCTCGGGATACTATTGTATACGTGTATAATATATATGACATAAATTATCACGCCCAGAAATGATGGTGAAATTAGTGGTATTCGTTTTCGTCGGTAAAACAACACTCGTCATCTTCCTTTTCGATTTAAACTTTTGAATTATTTTTTACCGTTCTATTAATGTGATTATACCGTGAAATGACTCCTTATCTCGTTTAACGTAGAAATACACTCTCACATATACAATAATAATAATATAATGGTAGGTAATATATTCGTTTTAACTCACCTAAACGTCCACCATATATTGAAACACATCGTGTTTAGCCAGAAAAACGCCGCCAGAAAGACAAAATGCATTACAATGGCTGAAACAAAAAAAATATAAATTAGTAAATTAGTTATACTGTGTTAAATATTTGAATAAGATGAATACCTGTTAATATATATATATATATTAATATGCATATTAATTTAAATAAAAATAATAATTTAAAGTAAGTGTATGAACTTATACTGTTTATATCATTAAAAATATAATTATCTAACAATTATTCAGTTAAGGGGTTTTCAACAAATTTTATAGGTAGGTATTATGCAATCAATATAGACTAGGTACACATAAAATAAATAAATAATATGCATTCATTCATCATTTCAAAGTCTAGTGAATACATGTAATAAAAAGAAATGGCATACAAGAGAACATTCTAATTTTTTTTTTTACCTACACTAATATCGTTAATTTTAAGAAACTTTTTAGACTGAAGTAATTTACAGATTTATGAGTTCAAGGTGAATACTAAAAAAGGTTTGTATTAAAACTCGTTTTTTAGTTTATAATTTTATATAAAAAATATTTATGTATATACCATAAAAAAATATGAATTGAACCAATTTTTATAAAAAACCCTGCATCTTGGTATAATTAACACCAAATTTAGAATTTATTATAAAGGATTGTTTGGTGCTATTACTGCAGATATCGTCCATATGGTATGTAATGTAAACATATCACCTGCATACTATCACTTTATAGCTGCAAATTATTATAAGATATTGGCAATATTATATTTTACCACAGAAACATGAAACCAAGACAATATAAAACAACTATTTTCTTGTTTTTCATCTTTGCCGTTACGAGAAATAAAAGTTGGCACCCGCAATTTAAAATTGAGTTAATTTATTCATATATTATGCAATCAATTATTGTTATTATTATATTAGTAATTATTATTATATAACTTCATAATTATTGATTTGCGCCAGATAAATTATATTATGAGTACACTTTAAAACTCACTTTATTTTATAAATAAAAATTAGTTTTCTACTGGTGTTAAGAAAGCTATATATTTTTATATTTAATCAAGAATAGAAGTGGTCTAGAATAATTATTTAATCATTAATTTGTTTTATACTACTAACACGATGAATATAAACATACCTACATCATAATATAAAACATGTATTGGTATTGTTGTAATTATTCGGTGGAATGCAGTATCCGTTATGCACGGACGATCATAATAGTATACGAAATCGGAAATACACTAACTTAAGAAAGACCACGGAATAAACAATATTATAATATTCTATAGCGTTCAAAATTTTTATAAATACGAGAATAAGACAGTATTTTTATTGTCTTTATATCTGTGCTGATTGATGAAAGTAGGTTTTCTGTTTTAATACGTAGGATTCTCCAGGGGAAAAGCCGGAAGCCAGCCAGTTGTGTATGCAGGTATCTATAAATAATAAATATGCATTACTGCAATGCGAAACTCGGTCAACTATAATTGAAAAACAATAACCGTTGTCACGATAATTCATCATTTTTATTTTTTGCAAAAGAGGTGTGAACAAAACAATTGAAGTTACTACACTGCGTGTAAAATATTTATCCATATAATTATTTCATATGGATTTCTATAGGGAAATATTATAGAATATATGTACACGCATGTTATATTACATGTATAAGTGCGTTTTATAAAAACGTAACTCTTAATGAATAGTCAAGTAGAATGACACTAAGGCTCATTTGCGAATATATTAACAAGTTCTATTTAAAAGAAATTCAAGGGCGGACTCATTATTTATGAAATTTTCCTTGAGTATGTATGTAACATGTAAGTAGACACCTATATTAATTTACAACATCACTTATAAGACATGTGTATTATAAACAATAATTTAAACTTAACTTTAAACAAACTTTGTTATGAAAAAATGTATACAAAATCGCGTAAAATGATCAGCAGATAAATGTTATTTTATAAAATGATTCTGAAAACAAAAATCTTTAATTTTAAATCGGTTGTTTCATCAAAACTTAAAATAATAAAATAATAAAACTAATTAAATACATATTTAAAGTCCTATATTATATTATATTGTTTTCCATATTATTATACCTGTGATTAATTATCAGTTCTCATTTTACTTGAAAATAACGAATAGTTGTTTAAGATAAAGTATCTATAGTAAAAAAGTTAGTTAAGTTTTGTATACATTCTTAGGTTGTATGTTAACAACTATAAAAATTGAAACATTAGTAATATACACAGACATTTGATAGTTTACAGCATTCCAATATTGATTAATATGACAATGTTATGGCATGTGTTTTTTTAACTATATTTTCCAATTTTTCACTTTATTTAAGATTATAAATATTATAAGTACACAACGTCAATTATGGCAATGGCTATTTTAGACAAGTTATGATAAAAAAAAAACCAACGTTCTTAAATGCATCTATCACTGTGGTCTTTTATATATACTGCAGATGAAAAGAAAAATAAATAAAAATAATTTGAATAATCGGTGTTTTTTAATTCCAAACATTTTTGAGTTGGGGGTTGTACTTAGAAGACATCACAATATTTATAAATTAACAATAGGTTTCAACGTACATACAAAAATATTAATAAAATACCTATACAAACATTGTCGAATAAAACTTAGGCACTTCTGCAACCTATCAAATTTTAAGAAAGATAAGAATAATATCCAATAAACAAAAAATTAGTTCTGAAAGCCTTACATTAATAAATTTATAAATAATATATAATATTAAAAGTATTGAAATAAAACCGTTAGAAAAAAAAATTGATAGCTGATGATTAAAATGTAAGGGATAAATATTATAATTAAGCCATGTATTGCAAAGAAAGTGGTATTAAATTAATTTCGATCCGCTATGCACGTCATAACCTCGTAGGTACCTAATACCTATACGTCAGCGATTTATGCTGTGATAAAAAAAAAAACCGGCTTCATTAACGAAAACGTGCTATATAGTGTCAGAAACAATAGTGTACGCATATACTCGTAATTATATAAAAAATAAGACTGATAATAATATAGTGGCAGTATTATACTATATGGGTACAATTATGCGATTGTTTGGATATTAAACGTCACACACAACGCGACTTGCATACACATATAGATACTTACACGTAAATATGTACAACGTGTAGAAAAATAATATTATGATTGGAAGAATTCAATAAGGCGAGAACAACATAAAATCATATTTACTCGCTTACAAGAGAAATACGCGTGGACAGATACCAGCTACAGTTTTTGACTCTATTTCTATTTTTACTATCAATAAAGAAATTCACTGACAAGGAAAAAATATTATAAACAATTAATTAAAATTAAATTTGCTTATTGCCTACCGTGACCATTATTTCTGTGAATTTTTAATAATGTAATTCAAATATAATATAATGTGTGACAAAAATAGTCCTTATATATACATATATATTTATATGAGATTACAAAAAAAAAAAATATTTTAATAAATTGACTATGGTAAAGGCAAGATAAACATAAGCCAATCTTAAGGAAAGGATTTTAATTTTTTACTTAAATTTCTGACTTAAGATTTATAAGAGGAAGATTGCTCTTTATGACAAAATATTCTGTTTATAGTGTTTCAATCTCTACCGTTTAGGCCCTAAAAATTTGTCCTGTTTTTTTCTAAGGATTGATGATATTCAATATCATATCATATACCTATTCAATATATAATTATTTTTATTTTATGTAGCTAATTTTATCATAATAATATTATAACAAACTATACGGTTCGTCATCTACACCAATGCCAACTGCCGCCAATTAACTGTGGTTATGACAATGATTAAATGATAGTAAAAATTTTGTTTTTAACGTCGACGATATAATTCGCGTTACAGATTCTCTAGACATTTCAAGGGCGTAAGATTATTTAAAGAATATCGTCTTATTTTTATCTATATTATGTATATTTAATATATTGTATATATTTATCTAGTATTTAGCTCTTTAATTTGTCTAATTGAATCACTTATTTTATATACTTTAACATAATAGAAACCTTATTGGTTTTAAAGAAAAAGAACAGGGTATATACATAGATTTTTTATATAGTTTTCAAAATAGACGTAATATGAATAATATATAATATACATTTTAAATAAAAGTTAGTTATATATTTATATTTTATAATAATATAATACTACTAGTTTTCTTATCTCCAGGGTTCTCACTGTGGAGTATTTATTACAAAGAATTTATTTTCTGGTATTATTTGTATAACGGTTATTTACCTACAATGTATTGTGAAAATTATATTATAACTGAAAATACAAATTTTTCACGCCACAAGCAATTCAAGAGGGTCTCCCAAACATAAAATACAATCGTATAATAATATATTGTCAATTTATAACGGTAGGTATGTACGGCGCAATTAAGAATATCTTTCCCCTTATAATATTCATGTAAAGTGTTTCGGTTCAATATTTCAATTGGATTTAATTTATATACACATGTACGGACCCTAACTACTCACATAATAAGATGTATGTGTGTGGGCACAAATCAGAATTGCCCCCCATTGTGGGATAACCAAGGATAACTGTGGGCTTAAATCTACTGTTAACGGGCGTTGTTGTATGATGGAGGATAATAATATTGAAAACGTACAATTTATGTACAATCCCAAAAGGTACTAGCTCACAAAAGTAGCGTTTCGAATTGATCACATTGCATAACAATATAATTTCCAATAGTCATTATAGCTAGTTATAATACGTAAGTATCTATACGCCCCGTTAACAATGTGAAGCCAGAGATAAATCGATAAAAAATCTATCAGTCAATTATGCACAAAAATAAAAAGTTTAACAAAGTACATAAAATAATAATAATTATTATTCGAGATATTTTATATACTTAATATTATTTTGACTTACTGATAGAAACAAAAAATATGTTTCCGAGAAACAATAGATATAGGTTCTAAGAAACTGTATTATATGGAGACCCCCGTCAAGTGCAAACATTTTTAAAGTCAACTGTACGA